CTCAGCTCTCCAAGCATGGCATCTATATATTTGTCATCAACCATGTACTGCAAACCATCTTCTGTCACCACCAGCTTTTTCTTCAGAAACCGCAAACTCTCTCCAGGTTTTGAAATTGGACCAGTCACCTGAACAATGTACTTGGACTCCAACATGTCAATGAACTTGTCGACTGTAGCAGGTCTGCCACATACAATCATGTCAATATGCACGGCCATACACATCTGATCTCCACCGAAAAGCACCGGACATACCTTGCTCTTCTGAAGTCCAAAGGCTGTAATGTCATCTGAAATCTGCTCGCACCACCACTGAGCTGCTGGCCTCTGACCAGGTAAACATTTGCACACCTGAAAAACCGCACCTTCATGGACAATGTAACATTCATCCCTGTGAGGAACAGTTAAAAACGCATCCTTGATGTCCAGGCTGTACAAGCACCACTCGCCTCCTTTAGTGGTAAACACATGGGGCACCAGTTTCACCACCGCTGGTGTTGTGGCAGGGCTAAACAGATCCTGTCTCCACGGTGACCAAATCTTCAGTTCTTTTGCCACCAGCCTGCCACGGCGAATCCACTGCTGATTTCTGAACCTCCAATCATATACCAATCTCGACTTCAGGATTTTGCTGGGGTCAGGTTGGAAATGCACACGCTTCAAAACTCCCATCTCCTCAAGACGACCCACTTCCAGTGCACTTGCCTCATGGTCCAAGGCTGCCACTTCAAAGTCTGGAAGCGAAGGTGGTCCTGAGTCCTCATCGAACATATCCACATTAGGGTGAATGTTCCAGCTTGGAACCAAATTGCAAAGTTCCTCATCAAACTCAGCATCATACAATGCATCCTCATCTGCATCAAAATACTCATCTTCACCAACCACCACTCTAGCAATTCGCGCCTTCTTGTCTTGCACATCCGAAGGGTCCGCCTCAAAATCAGGCAAAGCACCTCGCACCACCTTCTTGGGTGATTCGTCACCTGCGCCATCAGTTTCTCTCTTCAAACCTGAAGGCTGGGATCCAGTTCCTGCTGTCCCGACCAAACTGCTAAGCATAGCGTCATCTGGAAGCACACTCATGCTGCTTTGCTCAGATCTCTGTCTTGAATGTGTATTGCTAGATGGATCTGATGCTGCTTCATCTGCAAGTGGTTCACTCCCCCGCCTTTCTCGTACTGCAAATCCATCAGGAAGATATGCAGGTTCTGTCAATGCCTGCCTATTTCTCATCCCCGGCACCAATCTGTTGCCAAGTTGACCAAAACCATATTGCCAAGGGGATCCTTGCAAACGCTCAAACAGTTCACCAGTCCATGCTGCATCTTGTGACAAACGTCTCACACTGGAAGTCAAATAGGCACCTTCAGAAAAAAGGCACAAATGCATGTCACTCCTCTCTGTCTTTGTAATCCAAACCATCTTGACAAAACGCACATTACCACGATTGTGCTGTCCAGGAGATACAGCTGCTAAAACTTGTTCCCCAAAACTTGCCAGCTTTCCTCTGTAGCTCACTCCAAAGGCACGTTCACACGGGGTCAGTCCACCTCTCACAGAAAAGTGGTTGAGAATCATGCATCCATGAATGAAACTCCAACCAAAGAGGGGGTGAGAAACAGGAATGGGTTTGCCTGTCTTCTTGGTGACCTGAGTCATGAGGGTCACAGCTGAATTGCGAATGTTCTGCACAGCTTGCTCTGCAATTCCATTCGTTTCGTGTTCATACACTTGACTGTTCTGCAAGAACGTCTGAAGTCCGTGTTGGGCTCGGGCTGTTTGGATCTTCGCCTGCAAACTCAGCATTACAGGCTCGTTGTCAGTTTTCAAAGAAACAGTTGAATGGCTGAGGTAATTCAAAAAGGTAACCACCTCCTTTGCAGCATACAGCATCGACTCTGTATTCTTGTCTGGCATTGGAATTGCTTTGCAAACACCTGTCTGTCGGTCCACGCAAGCCAAAACCACCATTTTGTTTCCCTCTTCGGTGTCTTCTCTCATGAAGTACAATTCATCTCCCTTGTACCCCGTATAAAACAAGTCCATGACCACCTGGTTCTCTCTTGCCAGTCTCTCACCGTCTTGCTGATGCTGGTCACGTCTGCCTCTTGCTGCAACGCAAACCTCACACCAGCTCTGGTAGGGTTGATGTGTCAACTCATGAGCTCTTCTCTGGTCTGCTGACGGCTCACGATCCTGGGGCAACATGCGTGGCACACGATCCTGCGGGGCACCTGCATTTGCTACTGCTTGTTCTTGAAGAATTCGATTTCTCTCAACAGCATTCTTCAACCTCTTGAAAAGAATCTTTCTGGAACCGCTTGTACCCAAACCAAGAGATTGGCATCCCGCACGCAAGGCCTGAGCACCTGACTGTTCTGTAAGACTCACACCATTCACAAGCACTGAAACCAAACCGCCTGCTGCATCTGCTGCTCCCTGTGCTGCATCTGGTTCTGCAAGTGGTTGTTCGGCTTGTTGCTGCTCTGCTGGCTGTTGAGCTGCTTGCTGATGCAATGCTGGTTGTGGTTGAGGTTGGTTCTCAATTCCCTGAGCAGGTTCAATGTACTCCTCATTCAAACGCTTCTGCAAAACTTCACGCTGCTCTGCATCTGAGATTCTCAAACCAAAAGAATCAGGCATGACAGGTTTCACATGCAAAAATGTAAGCCTCGGTGTGGATTCATGCACCTCCTCAATGCTTGCTTCCACATCCTCCAAGAAGCGAACATCTCTGCAACACTCTGCCAAAATCCATTTCCTGTCAATAAGCACTGCGGTTGTTCTGAAAGGCCAATACATACATGGATACATCGCATTTGTATCCAAAAACTTGCTTCCCTGACCAACATGCATAGGCGTGCCATCCTCCAAAGTTGCCCATCCAGGGGTTTCAGGGTGGTAAGGAAAATGCACATGCACCACAATGGCTCGCACGTTCTGAGGTCTCGACTGCTCATCATAGTCTTCCCCAGGTACTTCTTCACGCATTTGTATCATACGAACACTTGCTGCAATGCTCAAAGAATTGTGCCGCACAATCACAGGAATACTGACATCTCCAAATTCCAAGAAAAGTTCATCATCATGGTGATTCAGACTCCATCCTAGACGAATGAGCTTTCCTAAGGCAAGCAAAGGACCTTGCACGTTGGTTGCTGTGAAGGATTCCCGCAAAATTGTTTGCCCTACTTCAAGCTCAAGTATGTTTGTGCTGCTGCTCTGCATGTGGTGTCCCTGAGCGTCTCTTAGAACAATGGGCCGCTGACCATGAACAGGACTTCCATACTGCTTCCATGAAAACGGCATCACAGACACATCTGCACCACTGTCTAATACAATTTCAGTGTCAATTGCATGGGATTTGGTCTCAACTGCTCTCACATGTAATGAATCACTGGTTGAACTCCTGCATGAAATATCCAACTGCGAAAAGCGAGGAACATGAATCGGCAAATCTGCATCCTGTTGCGAGTTCAAAGCATGAAAAATCACTCTACACTGCTGTTCGCCACCATGAAAATCTGTGGGCTCAACCAAATTGATCACAGAACGCTGAAAAGGCTCATCTGACAACTGCACAATCCGCTTTACCGAAGAACCAGCCACGCTAGTACCTGCAGAATATGTATTGCTACTACTGCTGCCTGCCGTGTTGGAACCTTGGTCTTGATGCTCCTCCACCAAACGAACCTTAGGATTATCCTTGTTCCAGCAGTCACGAGCCCAGTGGCCCTGTTTGCCGCAAATTCTGCACGCGTTTGACGCATTGTCTGCACTGCTTTTGCCACCTTTACCCTTTGGGTTAGTACCCTTCCAGGCTCCTTTTCCATCCTTTGACCATGACTTTCCTTTGCCCTTCGGGTCTGAACCCTTCCAGGCTCCTTTTCCATCCTTTGACCACGATGGCTTTCCTTTGCCATCTTTGTCTTTGCCTTTTCCTTTGCTTTTTCCTTTTCCTTTTGGGTCATAGCCCTTGATGCGGTCAATGTCCATGGGGCTTGGCTCCTGAGCGGTCAAACCTCCAGTAACGTTCCCATGGCTCCACTTCTGCTGCGTTCTGTCCCATTTCATTAGAGTGTCACGCAAAGAATCGTAGGTGACCTTCTCCTCCGTCAAAACTGAAATATAAGGTTTCACACTCTGTGGCAACGCACGCAAAAGAACGGCTGTTTTCATCTCTTCTTCAAGGGGGCGACCAGCACTCTGCTCATAACGTTTCACAAGTTCTTCAAATCTCAGAATTTGTTCAACCAAACCATCTTTGGAAAATGCAGGATACTGTGCAATACTGCCAAGCAAAGCAAGCGCGCGTGTTCGTGAAGTGGGCATCAAAGAAGATAAAATCTGTCTCCATGCTTCTGCACCATTGTCACCACTGACACCCTTCACCAATTGTAAGGCTTTACCGCGAACCAAACTTCCCAGAAGTGCATACAGTTGAAAACTGAGCTTCTTAATGGCCTCGGTCTTGTCCTCCAAAAGAAAAGGGGTGTCCACATCTGCTTCAATACTGTCCATAAGCGCACCCAATTCTGCACAAATGCCTTTGCAGTACTGCCGAAACTGCCACTTCCACTCGGGAAACTCCGTGATCTCGTCCTCCCTGGTTGCAGGTCTAAACACGTCTGGCTTGGCAAGCACCCTAGACCACTCTTGGGCCCCGCCATTCCCAGAGGTTCTGCCCAACGCATTCAGCTGTTCAGAAAGACTCGTAGACGCATCTGCTGAGCGCCTTATCACTTCTCCAAGCCCTTCCATCAGCTGCAGTATGCGCTGATCCATGGCTCCTGGAAGAACTCCTAGAGCTCCGCTACCATCCAAATAATCCCAAAGAAAAGCAAAGTGAGACGCACTCTGTTTTCCATCACACAGCTTGAGCACTAAGCGCCTATGAAAGACGTCCGGGTTTCATGACCAAAAGCAAGCCAACATGACAACTCATGCACTGTACAAGGCTTGTCTCTATCACAGCTTAACCAAGTAAAAGCGGTTTACTATTTAGCAGTACATAAGGCCAACAACTTTCAAGAAGTCCAAGTTGCACGGACAGCTGAGGTCATAGATCACGAGGCAAAGATCGAAAATGCTGGGCGATGCGGCCGAGCGCGTCATTGGTCCATTGTCCGGGCTCACCTTCAGGAAGGCAGCAAGTTCCGAAATGGAACGGATCCTGTGGCCGTCATTGATGATGGCATCCCGAAATGGCAGGAGGCTGCGGTAGATACTTTCCCATGATCCTTTGATGGCTGGGAGCTGCAGCTGCGCGATGCTGGGGAGTGTGTAGTACTGCACGTCACCCATGCGCACGGCAGTCTCGCGGATGTTGAGCCTTGAGCGTAGGACAAAGCAGCGCTCTCCCAGCGAGGGCGGGATCGTAATCCGTGTCAGGTCGAACATCGGTACTACGGTGCTTGCAGGAGCACCGAGTGGCTCATTAGGCCGCCGAGTATCACTGGTCGGGTTCAAAGCGCTAGTCCACGACCCCCAGGCCTCATCATCATCTTCATCACTGCGTCGTTGCGGTGGAGCTGAACGAAGTCGAAAACGCGGAACTGGAGGAGTTCTAGATCGGCGCCGAGGGCGATGTCGAGATGATCCACGCACTGCGGACGAATTGTTGATCGGTCTGCTGTAGCGATCTGCGTGAAGAGATGGGCGTGGCAGAGCTCCATGTTGTTGAACGCTTTCCATGTGAAGGGCAAGATGTCCTCGCATGAAGGTCTGCAACGTTGGGCCGTTGGCGATGTCCGCAACATTGCTGAAGGTCAACTGAGAAGTCGTTTGCACCGCACCATCCGGCATCAGGACATTGCTCACCGCAAGCACCGCCGGGTCCGACATGATCCCACACAAATCAATGAAAGCTTCAAACAGACACTTGAGCACGAAAATGAGCATGCAACATCAGCGCACAACCGAAACTATGAAAGTAAACGCGCACATTCTTGTCCCGCGCTGCCTGACGTCCCGAAGTTGAACCAGGTCGAAACCTCTAGCTTCATAGATCCGCTTCAATGCTTGAAGCCCAACGCGCTGTTGAATCAAAGGCTGACCCCCACGAACGATTAACCAGAATCGATTTGGGAAGGATGGTCAGGAAGCTGCGGCGCGATGGTCCTGGAGAGAGAGCCGCAGTTGTAACGCAGTACTTTTTGGTCGTGTTGTACCGGGGGCCTGTAGAACTCCAAGGAGAGGAAGTTGTCCAGGATGGCTGAAGGGTCCGCGGAAGAGCGCAGTAGCATGAAACGGTTGTCAACATATCGTTCATGCCAGAAAACTCCAAAATCTGGTAGGTGGCACTGTAAGGAAGTCATAGTTTGATGCCAAAATTGCACAGAGGCGGGGCAGCCGGCGATCCCATTGCTACTCCACGTACTTGGCGAAAAAGGTATCCATTAAGTTCAAAGTGGCTGTTAGCGATGACAAAGTCCAGGAGGATCTGTAAATCTTCCGCATGAAATACTCGAGGAATCTTAGTCCCTGTAATCGGATTTGATCTCGAATACCGACTAATGCGACACATTCTGAAGAACAACTTTGAGGTCATACTGATGGAGAAGAACTTGAAGAGCTTGATGAAAACGTTCAACCGGGATGGGTGTGAAAAAGCCTGATAAGTCCTGCGAAACGAGTTGAACGTACTCCTCCGGATCAGCGTTGGAGAGTGCATCCCAAAGTTGTCGAACGATGTCCTGTACCGAAAGTTGACCTGGAATGTGTGGAAAGGTGATCTTGGTAAGCTCAAAGATGAGGGCACCGAAAACTGTCAGAAGTGGGGCAGCCCATGTTTTCATCCAATCCTTGCTAGGCTTGGGAAGAATTCTCGCTGTGGGCAATGGTGCTTGTAGCCGGAGTCCCAGGCATATTGACGCTGGATTCGTAGAGGTATCGTGGTAAGCATATAAGACCGGAAAGCAGCAGCTGGTTCACGGCAAGGAACAAAAGCTTCACCAGTGCAAAAAGTGGAGTGAAGTTATCGAGAGAAGAGTGCAGGGCACAGAACATGTGCCCGTGAGGGAAAGTGGTCCGCTGGTGTGACGACCCAGTTCTTTAGGAGGGACAGTGTTGGTGTGATCATTTCTGATGTCCAGCGCGAAGAAGTAAGATTGCTGATGTTAATCAATGATCTCCTGCAGACTGACCTGAGTGTCCGTGAGCAATGTCAAGGTCCGGAGTCGCAATCGGCACGCCAGTCGACGAATTTTCTGACGTAGCTGATCAAGTTGATCCTTCATGGAGGCAGCCATTACGTCGGGGTCGATCTGGGAGAACACTGACTCGAAATGAGACAGAATGACGGCAAATGTTGTGAAGAGACGTCAAAGCACGAACAACGAAAATGAGTGTCAGGAGTCCATCTTTGTTGCCAGCCGCGATAATTGAAAATTCGATCACCTAATGTGGCACTGCGAGTCTCAATAGCACGGATCTTGGGTAGGAAGAGTGACGGAAACAGCTGCTGGTGATCTGCGACCCACTGCTTGAGCCATATTCCCAATCTTTGCTTCCAGCGCGTAGCATGTGTAGGAGGAAGAAAGTTGGCAGACGATGGCGGTATGGCGAGGCGGCGTTTTGTGAGGATCACGGCGATGTGGCGTTTGGCCTTGGAGCGGAATGGCTCATTGACGAACTCAACCAGCCGAAGAAGGCTGTGTGGGTGGACAAGCGGCGGAGAGTAGTTCACGCATGGTGTCAAAAGATGCTCCTGTGTCTGAACCTAATTTGTACAGCAGGTTGTAGTGCGCTTGAACATCATCAAGAGCTTGAGGTCGTAGTTGACGATGTAGATGTGGGTGTAAACGTCGGCGAAATTTATTGTGTAGAGTGCGCGAAGCTGGAGTTGATATGGAATGACGACGGAAGTCAACAAGGTGGTCACGATATCCCAGTTTGCGAAGGATACGGTGTACCCATGGAGCATTAAGTTGTGGTCGTCTGATCTTAATGCTTTTCTTCAGGATGATGCTCATTTTCAACAACCATGCGTATGCCTTCGAATTTCACCATGGTTCATGCCATATTAAATCGGTGCAACTGATCATGATGTTCTGCGTAGGGAGCACTCCAGCTGTCGCAAGTTTCTCCAACTTCAACGCGGTCAACATGCCTTTCTTGAACCTGCCCTTCACTACTGGCGACGTGCGCAGAACTATTGGTTATACTGCGCCGTACCGGTTGAAATACAAGGACCCGCGCATTCCGTTTGGGCACGGGAGAGCAAGTGGCAATATAGTCTAGGTACTCGACCACGTAGGGAATGCAAATGGCGATGTTCAGTAAATGAGGAAAACAGAATGTCACGGAACAGCGCCGCCTTGTAGAAGTGTAATACTTCAAAAATCGCTGGTATGTATCCATTGTCTTGTAGAACGAGTCGTTGAAGGAAACACAGAAGCAAAAAGGCTGATAGCCGACAGCGATGAGGTTGATACCGATTGGCCGTTGGATTGGAAGCGCTCGTAAACGCGTTCGCAGGGATCTGCAATGAGACCCTAACCAGTGCGAGGGCTTCAAGGATCATATCAACGTGAGCCAACTTCAAGATCGATGCGACTTCATGAGCAGGTACCGCAGGTCTAGGTAGTTCAGGAAAGACTAAAGTCCAGCAAGCAGAAATGAACGCCAGCGAGCTGAGGAAAGTGGATATTGAATGCCAGCGAACCATCAAGAATCCCACTCGATCTAAACTCCGACCACATGATGAAAGCTGCGAATGTGTGACACAACACATCTCACTCCCATGTCCATGATATCAGCGCAATGCAACACGCAAGCTATGAGCATGATTGTGCACAACCAGCAACAACGCACTGCAGCAAAGCAAGCAATCTTTTGCACGCGCAACTGTCATGGCAAAACCACTCCGGGCTAAGCTTTCGATCAGGCAAGAGCGCGTGCTGTGACAATTAGAATACACAGCGCTTTGTCGGCAAGCTTGGTGATGTAGCCAGGCTCCAACCCCCACATGGCCGCCATGGATGGGAAAGATGCCGCGTCTCCATTGGCGACCCGTTGGCGTGCTTGTTGAAGCAGAACAGCACGAGGTTCAAGGTCACCACTGGCGTTGAGACGCGTAGGATGGTTAGCCCACTTAAGCAAAGAAGTTGGGGTTGACGTAGTGGGAGCATGCTTGACAAACAGGCGTGGCATCGGGCTTTTCCACGTGTGGTATTCCAGGATCTCCTGAGGCGAGCTTTGATCCGAAGGCGGAGGTGGCGCATGATGCGCGGAATCAGTGGCTGCAAGCATCGGATCATCCTGCTTCTTGTCATGAGGCTGACAAGGGGAGCGACCATGTAGTGAATTGAGAATGGGGCTCTTCGCAAAGTTCCTGTCAAAAGAGTTCATCAACGGCAGCAGCACTAGCCATGGGTAAAATTGCACCTGACTCGGAAGGCCTGGAATGGGGCGTGTTCGCTGCAGACACGGTGGGTGGCGTGGTAGTAGCGGAGGCATCGTGAGCTTTGCGTGTCGCGGCCAGCTCATCTTTGAGAAGCTCATTTTCACGTTGGAGTGAATGACAATTCGCGACTGCATCGGCGTTAGGTAGCCGCGATGAGATTGCTTGGTGCTACGCTCATGAATCTTGATGCGCTGATTGAAGTCCTCCAAGTTGAGTCCCAAGGAGCTGGCAGTGTCCTTCTCGAGGGTAAGAAGGTTGAGCTGCTGAGATCGGCGCAGGAGTTTTGAACAGGTGCTCCACAAGAGACCTTCAGTCCTGGTACGGAATCCTTCCCAAGTCACAAAGCGGCCGTGAGCAAAAGGACGTAGCAACCAGTTTGAAAGGCCACCATGTATTGCTTGAACTAAACGTACATCACGAATGTCGAGCTCAGCCATTCCACGTTCATGAGTGTGAGGTGTATTCGCGACTGAAACTGGTGAAGGAGTAGAGCTGATTGCGACCTAGAAGACCGTCTCCAGAAGTCCACTCCGCCGCAGGTGTGAGCCAAAGTGGTTGACCTGTTGCCCTAGGCCCTAGAGCCTGAAGTCAGGCGTTGAGTGTAGCTGATGAACTGGGCGGGGGAGGATTCGCGAATGTAGCCTGTGTTGGCATAGGCTGGTGTGCAGGTAGCTCATGAGGGACACGATGACATAGATCAAGCGAAAGAGGAAGTCCAGGCGTGGGATCGTATGGTGCAAGGTAAGGAGTAGGAGGGAACGGCGCTGGTGCATGATGACGGTAGTTCATCGAGTGGTTGCGCGCTGCGGCATGGAAGGTGGCTATGGCGCCGAAGCGGTGCCGTTGGGACCCTGCCACATCGAGGAGTTAAGCCAATCTTGAGAATCTGCTTGGCGTGGATCATCATCACGATCATTACGTCTGCGTGCTTTGTGAGGTGGCGATTCGGATCGCCCACGGCGGTGCCGAGTACGAGATCGTTCACGGTCATCACGGCGAGGCATGATCAAGCGCAAGACGAGGATTCCAAAACCCAACGCTTGAAACACAAAGCACTCAAAAACCATGGCACAAGCATGTAAATGAAGGACAGCAACGACAATGCATCCAACCCAGCCAGCGCAAGTGATGTCAGCGGATCCAGGCCAGCCAGCGCAAGTGATGTCAGTGTTGGGTAAAATACCTTACGCTGTCTTCCCTTTAGTGAAACCTCGTTTCTGCTTGAAAGTGAAATTCCGCTGGTCTAGTGATCGACGCCAATGTCAATTAAACGGCAATGCCGTCCCGAAGCCACGCAATGGGTGCATCCGAGGGTCCCCCGAGACGGGGTAATCACACTTGAACTCCCGAGGGAGGTTGCTGAACTTCGTGCACAACTTTCGAGTACAACTTTCGAGTACAACTTTCGAGTACAACTTTCGAGTACAACTGGCAAATCGCAATTCAGGGGGCAAAAAGGGGGACTTAGTTTTGGTGACCCGCCAGCTGCCATGTCAATGGCCCAGGCGCGGTCGAGCAGGTACGGCTGTAGGTGGTTCCAGGGTAAATCTGGAACTCGGCACACACACACACACACACTTTCACACAGAGAGAGAGAGAGAGAGACACAGACACACACGCAGGCAGGCAGGCAGGCAGGCAGGCAGGCAGGCAGGCAGGCAGGCAGGCAGGCAGGCAGGCAGGCAGGCAGGCAGGCAGACAGACAGGCGCACACACGCACGCACGCACGCACCCACGCACCCACGCACACACGCAATCCGCTAATACCCAGCTGCCAGGCCTCCCCGTTTCCAAAATCATGGAAAGAAGTTGCACTTCTCAATTTGAACAAGTGCTACGCTTAGGCTTGTCAGGCCTGCTGCCCCTGTCACCCAATCGTCCAGCTAATCCCAGTTCTTCAATTGCACGCGCGGGTCAATTGCCCAATGTATGGCGACACCTGCTGCACGTTTGGGCTCACGACTGCTCGCCGCTTTCTTGGCACAAACAACGGATTCGCAGCAGTCGCGCTGCTGCATACCCAAATGCCGAATCAGCTAAGGCTTCAAAAGGGCTGCAACTGATTCAGTCCCTGTCGCTGACTGTCTTCTTTGCATCGGACTTCACACAAGACTCAAAGACTCCTCTTGGGCTCTTCCAAATGGTCTAAAAGCATATCAGAGAACAGCCTGCTGCCGTCGGATCCTCCGAGTGGCCGCACAAGGAGTCTTACTGCCACTAGAGGGTTTTTATCAGGGTGCATGAGCAGCGATTGCCTCACCAGTGCGACCACACTGGAATGCCAGTGCAATGCATGTGTGTGTGTGTGTGGGTTCCGCTGTTTCCACATTTCTCAGTGCTTCAACTCTTGCCACATTAAAGTCTCCCTTGCTTGACTCGCAAGTCACTCCCAGCCTGGATAGCCCATAGGCCCATACATTGCTGAAACTCCAAAAGCAGTCATCATATTCTGCACGTACCTCTGTGTGCTACCAGCTGCTACCAGCTGCCACTAGTTCCTGGGCAATTGAAGAGAGGAGCACGTCATCAGGGCTGGGTCAGCTCCAGCTGATGGTGTTGAGTCTGCAAGCTCCTGGCATGGAAATGCTGCAACAAAAAGTGTGAACTGAGTATACTGATTCATTCTGGTCCTGGTGTAGTTGCACAGGCTGCCCCGATGGCCTGCCACGTGTCAGTCAAGTGCACATGTTCAGAAGAAGCTTTGGCATCACCAAGAGCAAAATCGCCAGGACACATTGTGTGCATTTTGTCCAGCTCAGCATGACGATGAATGCTCTGCACAATGCCCAAACTTGTCAGATTCGACCCTTCTGCAGCTTCGTCCAGCATGCTGTTGCTTCTTTGCTTGGCCTGACCATTTGCGTTATCATTGCCTGCGTTGCCATCACCCGGATATGCCCTGCCTTGCTCTTTCCCGTGCCCTCATCTTCTGGTCTGGCCTCAGTTGAAAACTCGAAGACTTGAGCCTGTCAAAAGGCTAGGCAGCCTCCAGACCATAGTGAAGTTCCTTTGCCTCAGAGTTTTGAGAATACTCCGCGGTCAGCCACCGGCCAGTTGCCTCGCCCGTGTTGGCTTCTTGCCTGGGAGTTGCGTGTGTCTTACTCGCCCTCACAAACCTTGAAAGTCCCACTCTCAGCCCCTGCACTGTTCATTCTATGATTGAGGTGGAGGCAACACCATCAAAGCGCCATCATCCTTGCCAGTGCGAGTCCT